GCTCCTTGGCATCTGAGCATGGATATAAAGTCATCAGGTAGATTTCAATGGCAATGTTTTTCACATCTACTAATTGTTAAGGAGCAAAATTTTATGCTTTGAAGAATTATTTTTTTAATCATTAAATTTTTTTTTAATAACTACATGATTAGAAGGATTTCACTACAACTTTAACATATTCAGTAACATACTCCAGAGCAAGAGTATATCTCTTTCACATGTTTTTTAAATTTTATTTTATTTTAATTATTTTATGTGTATTCATGTATTGCCTGCATGTAGGTCAGTGCACCGGTGTCCTGCAATGCCTGCAGAGGATAGAAGCGGCCGTTGGATCCCCTGGAACTAGAGTTACGGACAGTTCTTAGCTTCCATGTGGGTGCTGGGATTCGAACCCGGGTCTTCTGCAGGAACAGTCAGTGTTTTTAACTGCTGCCCTATCTCTCCAGCCCCCAAGACATGGTCTTTAAAAAAAAATTCAATTATTATTTTTATTTTATGTGTGAGTGTATTGCCTGCATGTATGTAAGTGCACCTGTGTCGTGCAATGCCTGATGCCTGTGGAGATCAGAAGAGGGCATTGGATCCTCTGAAACTGGAGTTAACAGCTAGACAGTCTTTAGCTGCCATGTGGGTGCTGGAAATTGAACCTGGGTTCTCTGCAAGAGCAGTCAGTGGTCTTAACTGCTGAGCCATCTCTCCAATACTGCCCCCCGCCCTTTTTTTAATGACAGAGACTCTCTGTAGCCCCAGCTTGCCTGGAACTTGCTACATAGACCAGGCTGGCTTTGATCTTACAAAGATCTGTCTGCCTTTGTCTCCTGAGTGCTGAGATGTGGCCTGGCTCCAAATCCCCTTCTGATTTAAGTTAAGCTTTAGGAGTGTCCCTATATGAGGCTCCTGCCCCACTGATGAACTGCTGGGAGGTGGTAGGAACATTAGGAGGTAGGGCCTATTTTCAGGAAGTCAGCTCATTGAGGGAGTGCATTTGAGGGGAGACTGGCAGCCGGGTTCCTTCCTCTACTGGGCCGCCCTGTGTGTGCAGCCTGCCCCCACCACATGCTTCCTGACACATTTGCCTTGCTACAGGCTCAAAATGAGGAGGACAAGAAACCATGGCCTGAAATCTGTGCAAACATAAGCCCAAATAAATCTCCCTTTTCCATTGTTTATCCCAAGTATTCTTTCACAGGTAGAGAATTGATGAACACAGGTCACAACTCTGAACATGTGGGACTGGAGAGATGGCTCAGCTGTTAAAAGAGCACTGGTTGTTCTTGCAGAAGATCCAGGTTCAAATCCCAGTATTCACATGGCAGCTAACAACTGTCTGTAACTCCAGTTCCAGGGGATCTGACACCTTCTTCTGTCCTCTGCGGGAACTGAACGACATGGATGTGCTTACATACATGTAGGCAATACACATATGCATAAAATAAAATAAATAAAATAAAAATAGCATTTCTGAACATATGACTTGTAAGGCCCTTTCAAGCTCCAATTTTCTGAGTTTGAAACTTTAAGAATTCAAACATGTTAATTATGTAAAAACATGTTTAAAATATTATTTTCAATTTATGCATATGAGTGTATTGTTTGCATGTATGTAAGTGTACCCATGTTGTTCGATACCTTCAGAGGTTAGAAGAGGGTGTCAGATCCCCTGGAACTGGAGTTTTGGGACAGTGTGGGTGCTGGGAATCAAACCCAAGTCCTTTGTAAGAGCAGCCATGCCATCTCTCCAGCTCCAGTAAAAACATGTTTTAATGAAAGATTAAAAAAAATAAAGTAGGGATGAAGAGATGGCTCAGTGGTTAAGAACACTGACTGTTCTTGCAGAAGACACGGGTTCAAATCCCAGCACCTACATGGCAGCTAACAACTGTTAGTAACTCCCGTCCCAGGGGATCTGATGGCCTCTTCTGTCCTCCTCAGGCATTGTATGACATGGGTGCACTTACCTACATGCAGGCAAAACATGCATACACATAAAATAAAATATTTTTTAAAAAAGTAGCCAGGTGTGGTGGCATAAGCCTTTAGTCCCAGCACTCAGGAAGCAGAGGCAGGTGGATCTTTGTGAGTTTGAGGCCAGCCTGGCCTATACAACAGTTCCAGGCCAGCCAGGGCTACACAGAGAGACCCTGTCTCAAAACAAAACAAGAAGAAAACCAGATGGGAAGGAAGAACAAGAAAAGGTATGACATGGTATGAACATGGTTAAGGTATGTTTTATACATGTATGAAAATGCAAAACCCATTTAAAAAAATTAATTAAAAAAACCCAGATTACTTATGAAGTACATTAGTAGAAGATACCTCCAAGGAGCTGGAGAGATGGCTCAGTGGTTAAGAGCGCTGGCTGCTCTTGCAGAGGACTGGGTTCGGTTCCCAGGACCCACATGGTGGCTAACAACCATCTGTAACTCCAGTTCCAGGAGAACCGACACCATCTTCTGACCTCCACAGGCATTGCATGACACGGATGCACTTATATACATACAGGCAATACACTCATACACATAAAATAAAATAAAAATTTAAAACAAGATAGTACCTCCAAATGGAGCAGTTTGATAAAGAGTGCATTAAGTAAACCAGTTTTGTATCACTAATGATGGGATAATTCATGTCCTGATGGTGCCTTTGTCTTGTTAAATGTTTAGTGTGGGCCTGTGAGACGGCTCAGCAGGTAAAGGCACTTGCTGTGGAAGTCTGATGACCCAGGTTAATTCCTGGAACCCACGATGGAAGAAGAGAACAGGCTCACAGTTTTCTTACCTCTCCACATGCACATGGCATCCTCACACTCCATGCCCTGCACAAAAAAGAAAAAATTGAAGAATTAAAAAAAATTTTATTATTTTTATTTTATGTGTATGTGTGTATTGCCTGCATGTAGGTAAGTGTACCCGTGTCTTGCAATGCCTGCGG